GATTTTTGTTTTCTTGATATTGAGATGTAATCCATATCTAAGGCTGTGCTCCTTGATCTTCATAAGTAAATGTTTCAAGTCCTCTTCACTTTCAGCAAGCAAACAACAACAATACAGAGATAATATTCTAGGAAGAATACCAAGGTTCAAACCCATATTTATCTCTCTGGTAGTGTAGTGGTTACGAATCAGGCTGCGAACCTTAAGGTCAGCGGTTCGAAGCTACCAGCCGCTCCGCAGGAGAAAGATGAGGCTTTCTACTCCCGTAAAGATTTACACCCTTGGAAATCCTGAACAGGGTCGCTATGGGTCGGAACCGACTCGACGGCACTTAATAACAACAACAACAAGGGAGAATACGGAGCTTTGGTAGCATAGTGGTTACGAATCAGGCTGCTAACCTTAAGGTCGGCAGTTTGAAACTACCAGCTGTTCCGCAGGAGAAAGATGACGCTTTCTATTCCCGTAAAGATTTGCAGCCTCGGAAACCCTGTGCAGGGTCACTATGAGTCGGAACTCACTCCACGGTACTTAACAACAGGAAGAATAATAGAATTTTAACATTCATTAATTCTATATCTGTATTTTTTATTATGAACAAGGATTGTTTTGTGATATTAAAAATGCAATAAACTACCCCTTAAGTAGTGAAAAAGAAATATAACAAAAATACTTTTAAAAGCTACAGAAATTAGTCCAAGTTAGCTAAATAGAATTAAATTAATCATTTCCAAAATTAAGGTATTAACAAAGGATAGTTTTGTAAAAGTGGCCATACACTCATATTAATCCCTGATTATACAAGAGCAGCTCTAATTCATTATTTTATTTCCAAGCAGCCCACCCCCAGTTCTGTGCATTGTGGCTCTTAAGACATATTGAAAATAGACTTACTTCCAGTTTGAAAAATCAATTAAAATGTTGCTAATCCTGATTTGTCCAAATGCTGCCTTTCCTGAGTTAAGGAAAGGGAAGAACATTCGCAGGTCCATGGTTGCAGCAGGAGACCGCTGAGCCATGCATCCACTGACTGAGAGACATCAATCTAGGTTTCTCCCCATTCCACAGGTGGACCAGAATCCACCCACTCCCCACTTCCCACCTTTCTATTGGGGGTGGGGCAGCGTGGATGAGCAAATTGCCCCCACCTGAACTTTTGCTAGCAGAACTGAAAAGTACCCAAAGCAAGATAGGGGACGGCTGTTTCCTCACAACTGCAGCAAGATGGATACATCAAAGTTTCAGTGCATAAGGGACGAAGGCACAGTTGTAAGAAAATTGAAACAATGAAAATCAATGATCATCCAATTTTTACTTCTTTCATTGTTTTTCTCTTCCTTTTTTCTTTACCCTTTCCTTCTATTATCTTAATGAAAGCAAGTTTGTGTCTTATATAAGCAATCAATTACAATATTAATTATGAGTAGTAATTTGAAGGGGTGATAGTCTTCATCACAGAATGAAGACTCTAGCTGCCCTTGAAGATCCAAAACAGAGAAAACGAATTATTAGGGACAGTATAAGGGAATTCTCATACCTTTTCTTTTAGGAAGAAAAATAGTGATCGACTATGGCTTTATCAAATTAAAGCCCCAGAGCTTAAAGCTGACCTCAGAAAATTAGTTTTCATCCATGAATTCAAAATCATAACCTAAACGTCAACTCTGCTTTTCCCACTTACATGAGCATCACATACATAGAAGTTAGAATCTACTTCTAAAAAAAATGTAGGGTCTTGCCTCAGATTAGGAACGTGAACTCTGGAGTCAGAACAACTAGACTTGGTCACTTCCTCTGCCACTATACCAATGAATTACTGAACTTTTCTAAACTTCCATTTCCTCTCCCAGAAAGTGAAGAATGGTAGAGATTCTTTGAGGTAATGTATTCAAACCCTCAACATAGCCGCTCTCATTAAATGCTGGCCATTACACATACTTACATAATTATTTCTAATAAATAAGTAAACTGAGAGTAAAACCAATTACTTTTATTTAACATTATTTTCAAGGGTGATGTGGAAAAAGGGTTGGTGAAAATGTATAAATATTCTTCTTTACATTTTCAATAATAATTATTCTTGGATTCTTCTTATTTCTATAAATGGGCAACAAAAGAGATCACACTCTTGACTAAAACCCCAGAAGCGTTACAGTATGATGTAAGTCATCTTGAGCACTAATCATACCAACCACCCACTTCTGTCAGTCAGAATCTGCAGACACCCTTGTACAGCTGCTACCCTAGCTCCCAGTATTGCATGGTGGAGGTTCCAAAAAACTAGGTAGCATCTGTAGTTGTGATGTGGAAATAAATTCAGGACCTTTTTTAACTAAGGGAGACATGTATGCTTCTGCTTTTTCTTCCTTCTTCAAGCTTCTTCTTTCCTCCACTTTCTTGAAGCCTCTTATCTCCATCCTCAGGCACTCTCTTTCAGTTCTCTCCTTTCTGCTCTCAGGCCCCTGAAAGAAGAAGGATCAGAAAATGATGGTGCATGAATAACTTCAGGGATAAGCATCAGCATAAATCCAATTCACAAAATGTGGAGATTGATCCATTTCCCAATTTCCCACATCTCAATCATTTCTAAAAATAACTGCCCCCTCAACACTCTCTCTCAATCCTTCTCTGTCTTTCTTTGGCCCTCTGGTAAGCATAGTGGTTACAAATCGGGCTGTTAACCTCAAGGTCGGCAGTTCGAAACTACCAGCTGTTCTGCGGGAGAAAGATGAGGCTTTCTGCTCCTGTAAAGATTTACAGCCTTGGAAACCCTGTATGGGGTCACTATGAGTCGGAACCAACTCAACGGTACTTAACAACAACAACCCAGAGCTTGGGCTCCTAATATGGCACTGTAGGATCGGCACTGGACTGGGAACCAGAAGGTCGGAAGTTCAAACTCACCAGCTGCTCTTTGGAACTCCTATGTTGTTGTAAGTACCATCAAGTCAGTTCAGACCCATAGTGATCCTGTATAGGGTTTCCGAGGAGCTGCTGATGAGTTTGAACGACCGACCTTGAGATCAAGAGCTTCTTCTACAGAGTGCCACACCAAGACTTCAGAAAACCCTTTACAGAGTCGCTATAAGTCAGAACCGACTTGACAGCAATTAACAACAACCCAGAGCTAAGGCAGATTAAACAGTCACTGGACACAAATTTGGGGATCTACATGACACCTTCATTTTCACCTACTAACTTGTCCTTCTACTTAACATTTGATATGTCACTGTAATAAAGCAGACACACAGACAGTACTAGTATTTACAGTTAAAGATTCATTGTCGCAAAAAGATGCAACTCAGGGACATCATCAGGAAGAAACACACAGACAAGGTCTAAAAAGGTTCCCAACATGGATCTTCCATATCCCAAAGAACGAGTTATTAGGAAGCTCTTTGAGCCTTTGTGTTCTGGACTTTTATTGACCAGTCCTGAATAATAGGTTGAATCATGCTTCCTATGGTTAATTGATATCGGTCACCCAAGTGAGTCTTTTCTAGTCTGACCAGCAACTACTTGCCAACACAAATCCTCAGATGTGGCCTGAAAATTCCAGACCAAGGAGAAAGACCACCTTACTTTGGGTAAGCTAAATTCCTTACCCCATAGGCAGAGCTGCACTGGCAGCTGACCATGCTCCACCCTTCTCCTAATAATCAAGGATGAAGATAGAGCTGTTTGCTCAGCAGACTCCCACTTCAGTTTCTAGTAATAAACCTAAGGGTGTTGCTGAAGGCATTAATAATGAAGAAAAGGAATGGAGGTGCTTGAGCATCAGCAGACACTCTATATGAGGAAACTCACTGACGAATGTGATTTCACAGCATGTTAGCATTAATAGTTTCCTGGCAGTTTTTAAAAAGAAAAGTGCCAAGTGAGATCACATATGGAATGTTCAAACCTCCCTGGTGTCCACTTCCTTAAATTGCATTACTAATAGGATATGTATTAAATTTTATTATGACGACTGTGTGAAGAATGGCGTGTTAAGGAATGACAGTCAATCAGATTCCCATAGCCCAATAAGCAGCCCAGTGATTCACAGTTTTCATTTATTTATGGAGCACATACTGTCCTAGAATGAGGCAATACAGCACCAAAGAAGGGAAACCCTACTTTTTAGATCTGACACCTTGGTGGAGGGAGGCAGATTTTCAACGAATAAACCTAAAAAGAAACAATAAAATAACAGAGTAATAGGTGTTATGGTAACTATTGTTGTTGTTACTAGTTAGAGTTGATTCTGGTTTAGAGGAAGCCCATGTGTGCAGAGTAGAACTGCTCCATAGGATTGTTAAGACTGTGACTGTTTGAAAGCAGATCACTAGAGCTGTCTCCTGAGGCACTACCAACCTTGTTGACAATAGTTTACACTACCCAGGATCTCCATGACAACTATTGATGTTGTATTGTGCTGTAGAGTCACTTCCAACCCATTGCAACCCTGTATAGGGTTTATGAGGAACGATTGGCAAACTTGAACCGTCAACCTTGCGGTTCAAACCCACTTTGCAGTCCAGCACATGAACCCAGAGCACCACACCAGGACTCCATGCCAACTATAGATGGATTAGTATCATAGGGAAGGAACTATTTAAGGGCAAGAGGAATTGCTTTAGTTTTGATGGTCAGGTAGTAAGATTCCATGGAATTATTTCATGTACTAACAATATAATGGCATTGATAAATGTGTGATGGTATCTATTTGTGTCTATTTTTTTATAAAATAAATAAGAAAAATCATTTTTCCCCATTTAAATGTTGAGTGTCAGCAGTCTATGTGAGAAAACTCAATCTGCATGACTCTGCCTTTGTTAAGTAAGTAAAATCATTTTTCCCCATCCCTATTTAAATGTTAGAGAATCCCTGAGTATCTGTCAGTAAGCATATGCAATGGTAAATAATGATCAGATGATCAAGATCAATAACTCAGCCCCACAATTTGACTTATGAAGGATTCTGCTGGCTACTGAGGTAAATTTAGCCTCTTTAGTGTTCTAAATTGTTTTCATACTTAAATTGTTTCTATTCTATCTATAATGGTCCATTGGTTAAAGTTAGAAAGCAAAATGATAAATGAACCTGAGCTACTCATTAAAAGGAATATAAAAAACTATATTAACTCTCTAAATGTGTCTCCAGATCATTTTTTCAGATTTATATGGTGTATTTATCTGATCAAAATCCATATTTAGCAGTCATGATGCTTCTAATATTTAGGGAAAAAAGTATAGAAAAGAGAAAATATAGTGATGATTATTTCCAATATGGCTTTTCTTTTATTGAAAACAAAGACTATCTCATCACCTAGAAACAAAATGTGGAAATTATCAAGAAAGGAAATTTAATTTTTCAATATGAAAATGAAAATAATGTTGTTGGTCATGAACAGATCACAAAAGCAATCTCTGACTCTTTTTAATGTTAATACATGTAAATTTTAAATCTGCATATTAGTATGCATTCAATCCCCAGACATATACTACCATTTTAAGGGGGTCAGTTGTTAAATAGGAAAAAGTAAAACGGCATCTGCATATGTTCTGAATTTCTGATTTTTCATTAAGATGAATTTTATGATATATGATTTAAAACTGATATAAAATTAAATATTTTACTTTAAATGTCCTATTTATCATATAATATGCAAAATTTGAGTGATGTTATAAATTCATAACAGATTTCTAGACATTACATATAACTATAAAAAGAGTTATTGAGTCAAAAAAGTTGAATATGCTATCTTGGTTATCTTTGCACTTAAAAGGTAAAAACATGACAAATTAACACAACAAGTATATTTTATATTTTAGAGATAATATGATGAATACCTCTTTAAATAAACTGTTTCACAATCATATTCTTTTAGGGTTTATGATATTATTAAATGAATTTCATATAAACAAATTATGAATTATCTTGAACTTTTTTTGAAGCCACAAAATCAATAGTACACTGCTGAGATTTGAAAAATATATATTGGTAGGGGTGAGGTGGGGTGGAGTAGGGTGGGAGTGGGTAAAATAAGGAGTTCAGGTTAGGACTAGAGCCAGGTCTAGGCAAAGCCTGTGGTTGTTGTTGTTGTTGTTGCTAAGTGCCATCAAATCAGTTCCAAATCATAGCTACCCTGTATCGCATTTCCAAGGAGCAGCTGGTAGTTGTGAACTTCCAGCCTTTCATTTAGCAGTCCAGTGCTTATCCTATAGGGCCACAGCAGGACTCCTAGGTCTAGGATTTTGTTTAGAATTAGGGTTATGGTTAAAACTAGGGTTAGTGTTAGGAGTAGGGATTAGACTAGGGCGAGGAGTAAGACTTGGTCTAGTTCTAGGGTTACAGTTATGTTTAATTTTATTTTTTTTTAAATCTACTTGATTTCCAATTCATTCATTTGAAAGTTTTGTAATTACTTTATTTCCTTTTTTCACATTGTTTGTTGTTGTTATTGCAAACTGCTGTCTCTGCTTCCCTATTTTCAGTCTTGTTGTTGTTATGTGCCATCGAGTCGGTTCCGACCCATAGCGACCCTGTACAGGGTTTCCGAGGGTGTAAATCTTTACGGGAGTAGAAAGCCTCATCTTTCTCCCGCGGAGCGGCTGGTAGTTTCGAACCGCTGACCTTAAGGTTCGCAGCCCGATTTGTAACCACTACGCTACCAGAGCTCCTTGTAGGTTTGTTTTATTTTGAATCTTTGTATTTCTGGGTTGAGTTCTGGGAGATATTGTCATGTATGTTAGTCTCAGGTTGTTTGCTGTTGTTGGTTCTCTGATCAAAGAACTCCCTTTAGTACTTTTTGTAAGGTTGTTATGGTTTTTGCAAATTCTGTTTATCTGGAAATGTTTTAATTTCACCATCATATTTAATGGACAATTTTGCTGGATATAGGATTCTTGGTTGGCAATTTTTCTTTCAGTTTTCTATATATCATCCCATTATCTTCTTGCCAGCATGGTTTTTGCTAAGAAATCAGAGCTTAGTCTTACTAATTCTCCGTTGTAGGTAACTCTTTTTTTAAAAAGCGCCCTCAGGATTGTTTATATTTGGTTTTAAAGTTTGATTATAATATGTCTTGGTGATTTTCTTTCAGGGGTCTATCCTGTTTGGAGACTATTGAACTTCTTGAATGCCTACCTTCTTTTCTTTCATGATACTAGGGAAGTTCTCTTCCAACAACTCTTGGACAATTTTCTCTATGGCTTTTCTTGTCTCTTTCTGTTCTGGAATTATAGTCACATGTAAGTTATTCCTCCTAATAGTGTCCCGCATAAATTTTAGGCTTTCTTTGGATTTCTTTATTCTTATTTCTGATCGTTTCTCTTGAAGATGGATATTAAGAGATTTGTCTTTTAGTCCACTAACTCAGCCTTCTATTCAATTCTACATCTTTGCCACTTCAATGTACTACCAATATCTGAAGTCTTAGTATTAATCATTGGATTTCTAATTACTGTTTTTGTATAGC